GGAGCCCTCCGTGTACTTGAGGGGGGGGGACACACCAAACCCCAGCGTCCAGACGCTCCCCCGACCAGTCTCCACGGCAGGGGGATGCTCGACGGCTTTTAGCCGTGTCATTATAACGGCTCTATGCCGTTACAGCACGCCTGTGCTGTTTTTCTGGCGTGCTTCGGCGGCGCTGGCCTGACTCGCGGTCGCGCCAGTCGTGCCAGGTCCCCTTTCTTCCCCCCTTCCCTAGCCGCTTGGGGGGAAGTTTTAAGTTTCGTCTGAAAGATCGCACTATCGGAGCCAAATGTTTTTCCGGAGGCAGCTGCGCCTGCGCTGTTTGCCCGAAACCAAACGGAAGAAGTTTTCTTGCCGTTTGGTTCTTAACCTGGCAGGCCAAACACTCGGGTAGAAATAAGTTCTTGCGAATACTGGACTGCTCTGTCTCCTGTCGTGCCGTACCGCCTTGCTTCGACCGCAGATCAGACGTTTGCTACCAAAACTGTTGGGGGAAGAGAAACGCGGTGATATTGGTAAGAGTGAAAAAGGACTGTCGTACAGAGGTTTGACCTCAGATGGGAGTTAGAAGCTAAGTCGAGTGGAACTGCTGTTCGAGATAATAAAACGTGAAAGATAAGGACCAAAATAAAAGCATAAACGCGCTGGGAATGTTTTGTGCGTAACCCTTGGTCGTAGCTGCTGTCCACCAACTCAAACCGTTTGCTTATCTGACTCAATGTGGCAGTAATGAGATGAAAGACCTGCGCTGTCTGTTTGCTGCAGATACTGCGTTGCTCTTAACTTTGCAAGTCATCGCCGCCGAGCGAACGCCTCGTCCTGTTACTAGAGCAAACAAAGACTTAACGCCTTGCGTTTAACGAGTCTGTGTCCACGTTTGCCGTGAAGCGCCGTGAGAAGTTGCGTTTAGGGGCAGGGGACGAATGGCGTTGCCCTGTTCCCCGCGCGTTTGGGAGCTGCAGTGCACAGGCAGGTCACCTTCCTCCCCGGGGGTGGGTGCGAGAGATTTTTGGGGGATGCTGTGAAAACTTTGGGCCTCTGTTTGAATGCCGACGGATTCGCTGTTTGGACACCGTTTAAATTAAGCTGTGCCACTGGGAATACGGAGTCATAGCCGTGGAATTAGTGTCTACATGCAAATCAGCATGCTTTTGCGAATAGGTGTGTATATACTTTGCTTATGTTGGCAGGTAAAGAAAGTTGCCTACATCTTTCTCCTTGCCCAAAAGATTTTTGCAAGTGTCCTGAGTGGAGGAGGAAGGAGGAGTTGGTGTTGAGGCTGGCCGGCGGAGTTCCTGACTGCTCGCTCCCTTCCCTTCGGCGGTTTGCTGCCCGCTCTTCTTTGGGGTTATTGCTCATCGGGAGCGTTTTGGTTTGTAACACGGTTACCCAAAGCTGTCCTAGCCCGCCTGGGGGCAAGCAGGCCGCTGCTGGTAGGTGAGAGTGAAAAGGT